CAACAACAACAACAACAACAACAACAACAACAACAACAACAACAACAACAACTACCGTTCATCCTGCCTCTACGGTGTCGTCATCGTCGTCGACGTCACCGCCAGCCTTCACCAACCTAACAGCGGCATCGCTGTCACTGCACGTTCGGCTAGCTCATACGCACGATTCGATTATAAACTTTCATGCAATCAATCAAACCGGGGCACGCACATAGACGCGCCCGAGCTCCGCCTCTGTGTACCTCTCGTGGCCCGCTCTGACATTATCGCGCCCCCGGGCGTACATCACGTGACACGCTACCTTGGGCCGTATAAAGGTGAACAGCCGTAACAAATCTTAGCACAAAGCAAAAGATAATCATCAGCGAGCGAGCGCCCGGATTCGCCTCAACAGAGTTGAGCTCAGTGAAAGCCCGCCGAGCAATAGAGAAACAGCTGAGCTGGTATCGAGGACAATAGCGTTCCGGCGAGTCATCTCTCTCGCGCTCTCTGCAAAGTGACTTTTGTGCGGAGCAAAGCGCTATCAAGCTGGTGCTGCTGTGTGCGTGCGCGCGTGAGACAGTGAATAAACATGCCGTGCGTCGATAAATTGACGTTTCTGCCACTATTGGTGATCGCGACGGTGTTTCTAGCTGAGGTAAGTGATCGTTTAATGATATTCATGACGGACATGCGCGAACCGGTAAGAAGGGAAACAGACGTAGCTATACAGACAACCTACAGCACCCGTGACGGTAGTGCTGAAGCATCGCGCAGTGTCGGCATGCATGTGTGCGCGTGCATGCGTACGTGCGAGCGTGCATGCGTACGTGCATGTGCGTACATACGTACGTACGTGTGTGTGCGGGCGTACATGGCCTAGTAGTGCGTGCATGTATCGTTATATTATTTTAGTGCATCACATGATAAATCGTTGAAATTCCATTGGATAACGTCGCAGGTACTATGAAACAATGGTGCCCGCCTGAGCGGGCACTATTGCTTGCTCGACGCAGTTATTTCCCCTACCTGTATATTACTTACTGTTATAAACTTTGTTTTATTCACTTCATATTTGCCGAGTAGATTGCAAAGTCATGTGATGCACTAAAAACATTATTGCGTGTTATTGGGGTCACTATGCTGTCATAGTGTTGCTTTGGGAAGGAATAGTATACTATACCTTCCCAAAGCAACACTATGAGAGCATAGTGCCCCCAACAACAGGCAATAATATATAAATAAGCTCACGCACGCGGGACTACTTTTGGGAAATTCGCTGTGGAATATGGAGGCCCCGTTGGCCATTTTAACCCTAGCTATCAAACTCTGAGCTGTCGGAGAAAACAAATTGTTAAAAATTATTGCCCTAGTCATTAGTGATGTTCATGACTAGCCATTACGGCTACTTCAGTGGGCCATGTCTCTACGCAGAGGAAACGTCTACCGCTGTGCGAAACACCTTGCTATGTATATCTATAGCTAGCACTCACGGCCGAAAAATCACACGGTCGAACACACGCACACGCACGTATACCTGTGGTGACGGGAAATGATTACGCAACGTAGTACAGAGATGGTTCAATAGGATGACTCATCCATAACATCTCCAGGCACGACGTTTGCACCGGTCAGCATAAGGGACTAATCAATAAGGCCAGCTAAACCTCCTGATAGTCTCAATTTTGCTTGCTCGAGCAACGAAGCCCAGCGAAGTCCATCGAAACAAAGCGAACATGCCCCCGCTCTGTATTTCGCTTGCTCGCGGCAGCCAAGGCGCGCAAGTTTAATAGCTCTTTTATATCGTTATATATAACCCCCCCCC